TAAATAAAATGACACAGTGTCAATAGAGGGAGTATGATTTGTTTCCATTTCCAATATTTATTCTAACTAACTGTTTATTGGATGTGTACAAAAAAATAGCTACCAAGAATCCAATCAATATGAGATTCTTTCTAAACTTTAAAAGATTTTGTAGTTAAACAAATATGGAAAAATATATGTATCAATTAAGTTGTACAATTCGAAATATAAAAATAATTCATGAAATTAACATTCTTTATAAATAAATACGAATTTTTAGTTGTGACCATAAAATATGGAATTTGTAGATAGATAAATATGGATAAAAATATATTTAACAATTAACTTGACATGACTTTTCGAAAAGATTTCAGAAAAGTTTAACGTTTTATTCGTTCAAATTGATTTGATTTTTGAAATCAAATTTACACATTTGACCGAAAAAAATTAAGGAAATGATTGACCAAATTTTTGGGAAGCGAGATTTTCAAGATTCTTTCTTGCTATTGACCAGATTTACCCGTAGCACTTAAAGAAATCATTGTCCGTATTTTTAGGAATTAAGATTTAGTGATTTACACAAAATTTTTCTCAAATAACATTTTTTTAGATTATTTCAAATTTTCATTCAGCCGCCATTTANNNNAAAAAAAAAAAAAAAAAAAAAAAACTTACTAAGAATAATAACTATGAGTTTTTAACGGGACTTTTAGTACTATTTTAAGTAAATACATATCTCTATTATATAGTAATAAATAAACTTGTCATTTTATTTTTATTGCTTGGTAAAATAGAATTAACATTGGCAATTTTATTTTGACATGTTATCGATTCATATTATTTCATACGGAATACAACAATTACTTGTGATTTTTAAATAAATGATAGTTGGATACAAGAAATACAACTTATTCCCATTTAGTCATATAACTATTCAATACAATCATATCTAAATCTTCCTCATTTAAGTGACATATCATGTAATAAGTATGTCGGTTAACATGTGAAAATGGTCCATTCATCTCGAGTAGTATTTACAGTAAAGTATATTATTTAAATAGAACTCACGCAGATGAGAAGAAATTATTTTCTATTTTGTAAATAAAAAATTTAATAAATCAAGTGAAAAAAAAAATACATTGGTGAGTTTATGTTAAATGAGAGAAATCTCTCTATAAAATTAGACCAAAAGGTATAATAAATTATATTTTATTTTATATAAAATAATATACGAAATTTTTAATAATTTTTTTCTAATTCGTCTCATTATGAGATTCATGTAATTTACATTAAATACTTAAAAACAGTGTTTAAAAAACCGTACCGTACCGGCCGGTAATACCGGTATTACCGGTTACCGACCTTAGGTGCGGTACAAAAACACACAAAATACCGGATTTTCGGTAATACCGTTTTGTACCGGTATTGTACCGTAAATACCGGGAAAAACCGGTCCAAAATACCGGCCATGAAAAAAAAAATTAAAAAAAAAAAAATAAAAAATATTTTTTTTTTAATTTAAAAACATAAAATTTAAATTGGTAGTTAGAATGTTTTATTTTATTTCATTGGTAAGTTAAAATTAATGATTATGATCATTTATTTTTTATTTTTTTTGTATTTGGTATTATATATTTTTATAAATAAATATATATATTATTATATTTGCTAGTCCGGTAATACCACCGATATTACCGGTCGTACCGGTAATACCGCGTACCGGTGGGTAGACCGGTATGGCCACCGGTACGGTATTT